GCATAATGTTACGTAAATCTATGATATCTTAATCAATAAGCATTTCATATGAAAGCATCAAAGAAAGCATTTCATATGAAATGTTTTCTTATTTCATTTATCTTGCATTTCTTATCTTTATGTTTGTTTTCGATATTTACTTTTTATCACTGCTTGTTGAACAGTCATTGTTGATTAAGATATCACAGATTTACGTAACAATTATGCTCAGCATGCTATTTATGGATTTGATGAAACTACGTCGTAGCTTTGATTTAATTTCTCAGTATTGTTATGCTCCTACTCAATGCAAATACTTATATATACATTTTGTCTGTATTTAAATGATAAATTATGCATACAATTTTTTATGAAAATATAAAAATCCATAAATAATGTATCAAAGTATGAATGCATCAATTGGAAATTATGTATCATCGTGCATATATGATTTTTTGTATAAAAACATGTTACTGCAATAATTATTTTTATTAATAAATTTTTAATTGAAGTTATAAATATTCTATTTTCATTTTTAGCTTTGTTATGTTTACAATAATGGTATGTTTATGGTATTGCTATATAAAATTTTATTAATATCAAGTTTAAAAATGTAAATATAGATTTTTGCTACCATAAATCTGAAGAATTTTATGTTTAATAGAATATTATCATTACTCAAGATCAAAGAATTATATAAATTATTATTATATCAATTATTATATCAATTATTATTATAATACACATTAAAATTTGAAATTTGTCAAAACTCAAATTGCAATATTGTCGGCGACCTTGAGTTCCAATTCATTAGACAGATGAAACATTGTTCTGGCAATCATTCAATTAACTCGATTACTTGATATAGTACTCTCAATAAGTGAAATTGAAGGTTACATCATACACGAAATATATAAACATCTCAAGAATTTGCAATTTCGATATGTTTCAAAATTTATAAAAACAAAATATTGCAACTTTTATGTAATCGAAAATTTATATATATATATAAAACATTAAATAATTATGTAAAAATAAAACATAATTGTTTTAAAACACTATTGATACAAATTTTTGTAATTTTATAAAACAATTTTAATAAAATTTTCAAAAATGTTATCATCTTTTGTAATAGATTTATTTAATGATAAAGGATTTGGATGG